CAGAACTTTGCGCCTTACAAATCAGAGTTTAAAGTATGACTGAACTTGATTTATTTTAAAGAGGCAATTAAACGATACATCTTTATGTCTAATGATGACACCTTCAGCTAATTGGGTGAATTGCTAATGTGCAAATTTGTGCACACAGCTGAGTGGGAATTATTTTATTTCTTTTTAAATCAACCCTCCAAGCCAAATTTGGCAGGTTGGCTGTGCATGCAAGGAAATAATGGAAGGGAGGTAGTGGCTCTGATCCAACAAAATGCTTGCATACAAAGATGCAACCAAGACTGCCTGCATATAGCAAAAGGCTGTAATTCAAACATTCAGCTATTTGCCTCCTGAGCAGCTGGCCTGCAGGAGTCTAGCTTTTTTGTTTGTTTGCAAGGGCTAGTATGCATAGAGTTCTGGCTGTTGGTTCAGGCTGGAAAACTGCACATCTAGTTCCCATTTACACTCAATATTGCCTGCCCAATATGGGATAAGAGTATGGAACCCACCTATGCCAAGCTAATCTGCTTCGTCACAGATTCTAGGAAATTACTATGGTGTTTGGAAGCAGTGATGGGTTGGATGTTGGTAGACAAAACAGAGGTGATTCTGGCCATTGGAAAAGCCCATCTGGAAATTCACCTTGTTTGGGCTGATGATGCACTCACTCTAAAATACCAGGTTCACAATGTGGCAATGTGTCTGGACCCAGCCCAGTTCCTAGAGAGGCAGGTTGTGACTGTGGGCAGGACTGTGTGTATTCAATTGCAGTTGGTGTGTCCACTGTGAACCTTCCTAGAGAAGTCAGATCTGAGCACCATCACACAGCTTCGGTTGTGTCCAGCACAGCTGGTGCTAGCATTTGGATTCCCTGGCTAGCTGCCAGGGTTCCAGGACTTGACAGGGCCCTACCTGTCCCTGGGGGTGCATGACCAAGTGTTGGGATGTGAAGAGCCACTATCCTAAATTTTCCAGAATGCATCAGAGCCTCGATGTAGTTTTTGCTCCAGAACATTGTGGGAAATTGAAAATGGGTGAAAATCCAGTGCAAATTATAGGGTAGCTACCTGGTGCCAATCAGAAGAGTCCCTGAAGATGCACACAGAGGGTACAGTGCCAAGGGCCCCAAAGCATAGATCCAGCCTTGGCATCCAGGTTAGACTTCTGTGAGATTGAGGCCCCTAATCATACTGGGGGTCTGGATGCAAGCAATTGCCTTTGTTAGTTCAGAAGTCTGCACTACTCTGGGAACATCAGGGAACAGGGCTACCAGCACTGCCCCACTCTGTGGTAATTGCATGATGTATTATTTATGCCTGAAAGGGAATGGAGGGCATATTTGGTTTAAGATGTTGTCAACATCCTGCATCAAAACTGAGCAAAAATTGCTTGTGGGTGAGGTGTATATCTGGTGTGCATTGCAGAGACTTGGGCACGTGTGTGTGGTCTTACCCAGCTTTCCCAACTGGGTATCCCATGGAGCACAAGTCTGAGGACATAGGGATGAGGAGAGGGCATGGCAGTAACTCATAAAAACTCCATCCTTCTCACTAGGAGGCCAGTCTATTTGGGAGATGGATTTGATGGTTTGTACTCGGTGCTGGGAGGCAGAGACAGGACAGGGATCTTGTTGGTGGACTATCTACCCTGTGGCGCAACCACCTTCCTGACTGAGCTGGCAAAGGAGGTCTTTGGCATGGTGTTGGAGAATCCTAGGACATTAGTTCTGGGGGACTTCTGTATCCAAGACAGGCTCTCCTCTGTAGTGACACCAAGACTATGGACCTCTCACTCAGAAGAAGCACCTTAATGCAGCCTGGCTCCTTGTCTTTAGATGGCTGCATAAGACAGTTGTTGTTTTTCCAAGAGGTCTTTGGCACTCCCTGGTGGTTAGTGAGGAATTGCTTGTTCATGACATGATTGCCTTTTTACTCTGCTTATTGGGCATTGCACAAAATAGTTTTAAATAGGATCACTTTCTTCCATACGTTGATTGATTGATTGATTGATTGACTGATTGATTATTAAAACTTTTAAAATTTCTCTAAGCGGTGTACAGAAAACTGAAGTGATGACAACTTAAACAAAATATTACAAAAATACACAGTAGCATTTAAAAAGGTTACATTAATACAAAGTCATATGCACACATATATATGTCACTTCATTTTCCTTCTGGCACGCACCCTCCCTCTCAGCTTCCGGGTTCTCACCTAAGGTCCAGACAAACTCTCAACTCACCCACAAAAGTCTCACAATAAGAAGAGTTTCTGAAAGCAGCAGACATCACATTAGTTTCTCATGCTAGACTTGCTTTTTATGGGCAGGCCCAAGGTAGATGGTACTTCCTTAGGCTGCCCACAGCTATGTCCCATTCAACTGCACTCTCCACACCCAGTTCCATGTGTAGCTCTTTCTTCATCCTCTGCCCTCTCCTCCTCCTCCTCAAGCTGCTTTTGGGTTTCTAGCTATGTCTCAGCTACTATAATCTACACTTTTATGCTTTGTGTATAGTATCTATGAACTGAAATTTCATTATCATTATTGAATTGCTATGAAGTGATTAACATGTAGCCAAGCATTTGAACCCTGTAAAGTTGTGCTAGTAGAATTCAATGCAACTGCTTTCTGGGCACAATGCAAGGGATTGGGACCACAAACAATTCATAACGGATTGCTGCCCCTCACCCCCATTTGCATTCTTTCCTTTGCATTGAAATGAATGGGGTGGAACAACGTAGTGACAATGTAATTCATGTAACTTGGTTACATAATTTTGCCCAAGCTGACAGCAAGATGAATAACATAGGTGGAAGACTAACTAGCAGAATGCAAACAGTACTACATGCAAAAAAAATACAAAGCAGAATGGAATATGATGCCTTCTTGCATCCCTTAGCCTCACCCCACCTGCTGTCGGGGTGGATAAAAATCAAAGATTTTTTTAAAAAATCAAAAAAGTTGGATTTTTTTTGTTAAAATCAGATATTTTTTTATTTAAATCGGATTTTTAAAATAAAATGCTTTTGGAGGAAAAAAACTTTCTAAAGATAGTTTTCTGTTTAATTTACATTATAGTCCAAAGGCTATTCATCTGGAAATAAGGATTTGTTTAAAGTTTTTCATATGTGCTAAAACTCAGTCTAAGTTTTTTTTAAAAAAAAATCATTTAACCACATTGGTTAACAAACATGGATACATATGCTATAATGTTATTGTTTTAGTTTAATAAATTGTTTAAATTGTTATTAAGGAAATGATTATTTTTCTCCTTCAAATATATTACAGCAGAAAAGTTGTCCAAATAGAAACAATAATTTCATAATTATCTGCCTATGTATTTCTGATAGTATAACCAAATCAGTAATTTTTGATATAACTGTAAAAACTACTCTAAAATTTTATTATTCCAAAAATGAAACCTTCCTCTGGTTGTAAATATTAAGAGGATGCCAGCAAGGTTGAACCTTCCTGTAAAAATGATTTAAATCAAGTCTTACTGACTAGTTATTTAAATCAAGTCTTACTGACTAGTGATTTAAATCATGATTTAAATTGATTTGATTTAAATCAAAACCACCCTGCCTGCTGTTGTTGCCATTTGATGCTTTTTTCACCATACTTTGATTCAGTTCCTTCCTGGTTTGCAGTAGTTGTTGTTTGCTACAACTGAAGCAATAAAGTATTTTTAAAATAAACTGCAGCTTCCCTCCAGACCAGAACGTGAAACCCAGTCCAAACTATGGTTTCTGATTCTGGCTTGGAGACAAACTTTGGTTAACAGTGGAAGCAAATGAAATGTAACTTGAACCAATAACTGAGAAAATGAATTGGAGTTTGTGAAGAGAGATGGGATGGGGGAGCCTAAGGAACAGCCCCAAGGTAGGGATGGAAGAGAAATTCAATTCAGTTTAAAGGCAAACCTAGCTGATTCATATGTTCTGAAACGATAAGCAAATCTAAACTCAGCCATCCCACAAAATTCGGATGTCTCCAAATTTTGTAATGTGGTTCTCCAAGTAATGTGTACTAAAATGTATATACTAGGCTAAAGTGTGCATAAAAATCCATATGTTAAGTGACGATAACATACAAAAAATGCATTATATTAGGGGAAACCATTTTGCAAAAAATCTGTGTATTAGAGGAAACTGTACACAAAAAATTGTATATAATGAATAATGTGCACTAAAATTCTGGTGATTTGTACATTCTGAAACAATAAGCAAAAAAATCTGCGTATTAGAGGAAATTGTACACACACAAAAATTGTATATAATGAATAATTTGTTCTAAAATGCTGGTGGTTATTCATAAAAGAAAATTGTGAACCAATCTGGAGGGCTGAACTTCAGATTGAGAAACTGAGAGAAACCAAAATTGCCAGATTGGCCTATCCCTACCTCAAGGGCCAAACTATGGTTTCGCTGTGACATCTAAACCAAACCATTGTCAGTTCCCAGTCTATGCTGATCATCTCAGTCTTGTCCACCTAGTATTCTTCCAGGTGGAGGCTGAATACTGTAAAAGCATCGTTCAGATATAACAAATGTGTCTTAGGCAACTGATTTGTTTAATGTAGAATATTTTTTTTCTGGAAAGGGTAAAGCCAGATTAAATGTTTGGTGAGGATACAGGCTAACATTCTGATTCTAACAGCATTGTGTGGATGCTATGGAAAATGAGCATACATAAAGAGTACCCATCCTGCAATAAAAGCCAGTCTGGAGGCACCCCCAGTGTAGAATATAATTGCCCTGGATGTGACCCATATGCCTCTGGGTTCTGGGCAGTGCTTTGCACACAATTGGGGCTGTAGAAGTGTTGTGTGGTTGTGGTAGACATTGTTTGCTTCTGACCTGATTGAAAAATACAGTAGACATCAAGATAGGCCAGTTATTGTGCTTCCACATTTCAGTCTTCTTAACTGAGCTTTTTTTTCACTCACAGGGCTGCAAATTGGTTTGGGGGTTCTAATGTCCTGTAATTTTCTTTTTGTACATATGTAGGCTGGCCGACTTCAATTCAGAATGGATTGATGAACACATGACTGAATTGATGGGTGACCAAGAAGATAATAAGCGTGCCTCAGAAGACCCAGAACCAATCCCAATTAATGGGGTGAAAGAGGATGGTAAGGAAATCTATTTGTAGCAAGGGACCCACTGCCAACTCCTAATGGAAACTGATTTACTCCAAGATCTGTCCCTGAATGTCAGCCTGCTTTCCTTGTGCCATTTTCTTAATAAGATTAAATATTTCACGTTCATGCAATGCTTTTGAGTGCACACATTATCCACGAGTCATTTATTATCAGTTGCATTCCTTACAATAACTCTGTAAGGTGGGTGAATATTATTATCAGTATCACAATATGGAGGTTTTTCTAAGGATCCCTCATGAGTTCATGTCAGGGGTGAGATTTGAACCAGAGCCCTTTTCATTTGTAACTATGTCTCTCGGTCACCTTGCTATGCCAGACTCTCTAGGAAGCTTGGAAGTTTGGGCTTCTTTCTTATGTTTCGATTTTTAATTTTCATAATTGGCAGGATTTAAAAACAGAGTGGTTGGGGTTAATAGGCAGCTTGTGAAAAAGCTTTTGTGAAGAGTACATTGTACTCTTTGCTCTGAATATATTTTTTTTTACAATGGTGCTCACAGGAATCACCAGAATTCTCATACATAATATTTTATTTATGACTTTTTTCACTCCATTTCATTTGACAGTTGGTTAGTAATTAGCCTGACCATCAGGTAAACATAGGCCAAAGCACCAGAGCCCTGGAGAATGGGATGGAAAAGGGGTTTTCCCCCCAATGTGTTTGTGTATGGAGCTGTCTGCTTTGAAATGATCTGAGCTGCATATTATGCATCAAAGCTTAGTGAGTTAAAAAAGAGAGTTTGAAAGTGGTGTTATATATATATATATATTAAAAAGCCTCCTCCACAGTGAAATTTTGCTGCAGAGCATGATCAACAAGCATTATAGGAGAAGGTTAAATAATTAATATTGTTCATGAGCCTGTCTACATGGAAATTAAATTTCAAACTAATAGCTGGGTTGTTGTTATTAAAATTTCTCTGTACAGTGACCTAGTCTGTGGCCAGCTTGATGTGAGAATATTAATTTAGAGCATGTTTTAAATTTAAACACCAAACAGGGATTAGCTGTGCTGTTCTTCATTGGTACATGGCCACGATATGCTAGTTTAAGGGTTGTTTTTAATTTGTGAGTGAGAGTGTATATGCGTGTGTGTTTTAAAGGTAACATCAAATAAATTAAGTGAATAAACATCGGTATACTGACAGCAATAATAATAACAATAATGCTATTTTTCACATCATTTGGTTCGTAGGAACCATTTGCTCCACCCTCCATGGAGGGATGAAGATTCAGATTGAAAATTCCGAGGGTCTTATTTTTCCTGCTCCCTTTTCTCTCCACCCCTCCTTTTCCCTCTCATTCTTTCAGAGTCACAAGACCTGGATGGGGAAGAGAAGGCTTCACAGGATGCAGAGGCCGCAGTTCCATCTCCACCGCTGTCATTCCCAGGTGCTCTGAAAGAAAGCCAAGGGGGCAGCCGCGCCCAGCAGGCTCCGGCTTCAAAGAAGTCCTGTTGGCTGAACCCTCCCTCTCCCCTGAGGCTGGCTGATGTAACTGACCACATTTCTGATGACTCCTCCTCTGTACACGCCATTTCACTCACATCATGCGTCTCCAAGGGCATGAGCACCTGGTCCCTGCCCGGAGACTGTGAGAAGGCTCCATTCAACATTATGGAACCTGGGAGCATCTCAGCCCTCACCGGTGACTGCTTGATGCAGCCGAGCCGGACCTGCCTGGGCTACTTTATCGAATCAAAGGATGGCATTGATTCAGAGCCAGGAATAAGCCTGAAAGTGGGTGATATAAATAGGGATTATGACACCTGTTCAGTCTCTGATATAGGGATTCATTGCATGAGCACAGGGGAAACCATGAGATATGGGGATCAACTGCTTTCAGACCAACTCTTAAGCTTCCCTGCGCATAAATCAAGGGCAGCAGACAAGAGAGATGCAGAGAAATCTGACAGCGATTCAGAGGACCCTACTCAGAAAAATTACTATGAGGGATTACTCTTAGACAAGTGCAATGGGGAGGAACCTTTACTAACAAATCCCAGCCAGGAGTGGGGTTATTTTGAATCTTTCATCAGTGAAAGCAAAATCGAGCTGCTCGACCTTTGCTCCAAAAATGAGCTTTCTGTGAACCTGTTTTCTGAGGAAGATGTGGATAATTACATGTTTGATGACGACTCAAACTTGGGAAGTGACGTCTGCTCCTTAAAAATTCGGTATGAGTCCTTCCAAGACAGTGTGAAGGAGAAGGCAGGTTCTCTGCAGGATGATGCCCAGCTTAATTTCTTCCCAAACGTGCTCAGTGGATGCCCTAAAAAGGAAGGCCGAATGGCTTTGAAGAGGGGGCCTCGAGGGGCCACTGATACTTCCCAGTTCAAATCTGAGGAGAGCATCATTTGGGGGGAAGAGGAGGCAGATGGAGGAAGGGACGATGACGACGAGGAGAGTGAGAAAGTTGCCTTAAACAAATCTTGCACCAGTACAGAAGTGGTACAGTACATTTCTCCCAAAAGAAACCACTTCTTGGAACTTGTTAATTCCACAGAGGATCCCGGGGACTTCAGTGATGACAGCACCTGTACTGAATCTTCTTTTGATGTTCTCCAAAATCTTAAGGACTGCAATAAGTACCTGCCCAGAGACCACTCCAGTTCCTTCATACAACAGAACTATGGCCTGCGAGCAAAGAGAAAAGTGAGATACAGCGATGATTACCTATATGATGTGGATTCCATTGAGAGCGAGAAGATTGTGGATAAGAAGGAGGGGCACCCAGATGGACCCAAGGAGGAGGATGATGATGAATGGTGCCCAAAGAAAAGGAGAAAAGTTTCTCGCAAGGAGCCCCCAGTCATCATAAAATACATCATTACCAACCGCTTTAAAGGGCAAAAACAAATGCTTGTCAAGCTTTCCAAAGTGGATCCCAGCGAAATTACAGTGATCCTGAATGAAGAACGTTTGAAAAAATATGCCAAGATGGCCCCCCTGAAGAGCTTTTGGCAAGAGAAGTGGCAGAACCGACTGAAATCAGAACTTCAGTGCAAACAAGGTTTATATCTCAATGGCTCTGAGGTCTCCTCCTTGCCTCACCCAAGGAAGCGAAAAGGCAAATTGGCCAATAGGCACAGGATTCAGAGAATCAAAGCCATTGAGCAACCCATGGCCAAGCCCGGCTCTTGTTCTTCAGACCCAAGGCAGGTTTGCCGCAGAATTGGAGATAGCGATGCAGGCCCAAGAGGGATGCAGACCCTGGCTGTTGCAACACCCAGCTGTGCAAACGGCTTGCAGCTGAATGACATCGCGAGCCTTGCCTCACCAAAGGAATTCAAAGGGCCCGAGAGGAAAGTGTTGCGCAGGATCAAGTTCAAAAGCGAAGCCAGGCTGAAGTGCAAGCAGATTAAGGCCAGCCTGGCAGAGGCCTCCCCAGCCTTGGAGAACCAGGAGCCTCTTGCAATGGATGGAAGTGGTCCTTGCCCTGCAGATGGCTCTCGCCTTACCGAGCACAAGGAGGATAAGGTTGCTAAAAATCCTCCAGCTTTCCTAGCTACCACCTGCTCTTCAGACAAGGCCCTTACGTCTGCTAATCTTGCTGCCAGTGTGCCCCTCATCCCTGGAGGGTATCTGCAGACACTGTTAGATGCCTCTGATTTGTCAAGCAACACTGGGATCTCTTACTTCAGTCATCAGCAGTCAAAGCAGCAGCAGGAGGAGCCCCTCCCTGGCCTTCTTCAAGCAGAGAAGCCGTTCTGCACTCTGCAACCTGCCCAGAGCTGTGTCCTGTCCCCGCCAGAGTCAGAGCTGCAGCAGTCACCAAGCCACTTGGAGATGGAGCCCAGCAGCTTCGGAGGCCTCTGGCCAGCAAGCAAAGCATCTGGTGGCAGCAGCCAGGAATTTCCGAGTGATTTGCGGGAGGCTCCTGCACAGTCGGCTGCAGAGTTCGGGAGCTGTGCAGGTGCAGATGGCCCTCCAGCCTCTGGATACAGTCAAGTAAACCTGAATAGTAGCAAACTGCCATACCAAAAAAAGTACATGTCAGATAGCCAGCAGTCGCAGTCAGAGGAATCTTTCCAGTCGTGTCATTTCAATAATAGAGAGGGGCATTTTCAGTTCCAGCAAGGTGCGCTAAGCACAGACGACGGGAGGCTGATTAGCTTTGATTCAGTGGGCTCTTTGTCGGTTAGTTCCAGCAACTTCAGTTCCCTAAGTTTAAAGTCCTGTGAAAAGGATGGTGAAGATGACATTGCAGATGATTTCTTGGCCCACTGCAGCCCCAAACTAGTGATTCAGCAAAGCATAGATGAAATAACACCTTTGAAGGAGTCTACGGACCTTTTGGATATCTCCAACTTCACTCCTGACAAGTTCCGCCAATCATCTCTTTCAGAAATGTCTCCCCCAGATACCCCTAACCTTTCCCCACAGATAACTGGGTCGGAAGTCAAACCACTGGGGACCATGAAATGTTTTCCTGAGAGCTCCCAGGCTGTGCTGAATAACCCTGAGAAAGTCAAGTGGGGATGTGGGATCCTCCAGACGCACCAAGATCAGGCTGATAATGGATTTACTTTAAATAACCACCAATTCCAGTTCCATATGTTTAATGACGAAGATTCTGTCGGCCTTCTTGAAAAGGGCCCATGCCTGTCAACATTTGATGAGCCATCTGGCCAAATTAACAGCAACGGTAAAGTGTCAAAACCGAAGAGGAAAGGTTCATCCAATAAAAATATGGGTGGAACCCCAAACCCTCCACAGAAAACCGTACGGAAAAAAGCACCCAAAGCCAGCAAAGGGATGGAGAAGGGGCAAAGCAGAAATTCTAGACAGCCTCCCAAATCAACAAGGAAAGGGAAGAATGTGGCTGGAGCTCATGACGAAAAGGCTTTGAGCATTGGTGGGAGAGCAGCAGCTCCACTGAACAACTCAGCCTCAGCGACAAAAGCGTTGGTGGAATCCATCCACCGTGGTGGCCCGACCTCCATCCAGATAGGGAAGCCTAACGGGCTCCCTGGGGAATGGGCCCTGGGGAAGGACAACAGCGGAGGCTGGTCTGAAGCAAGACTAGGTAATGCTAACAGCCTCCTCAATGACGATCAAAGGGAATTTGAGGAGCCGTCCAACATTTTGTCAAACATAGCATCTGGAATGGCAGATGTTCAGAGATTCATGAAGGTCTCCATTGAGCCACTGTGGGGGCCCGTTTCTCATAACAATGCCTCTGATGTATTCCAGCCCCCTGAATCAAACAGCCTGAAATTGAAAACTCTTAAGATCCTGGCTGGCACATCACAAGAGTCCAAGAAAAAGGTGAACGGTGGTTCTTCTGCAACGGCAAAGAGTCACAAGCCAGGGAACAAGGGTTTGAACAAAGCCAGCGGCCGAGCTGCCTCCTGTGATCCTGGACGTCCCAACTGTCCAGCTGGGTACCCCCCAGACGTTCACTCTCCCTTTTTTGATAAAAGCTATAGTAACCTGAGCACTTTAGCCAAAAACGAGCCCACCCATAAAAAGCTGTATCGGCATAAATCCACTTCTAAGTCACTGAGAGATGACAACTGTAAAGCAAAGCAAGCGGAGCGTGAGCAGGTCCGTAAGGACCCGTCTGCGACGGCTTCATTTGAGAAACTGAGGTAATGCTGCACCAAACTCGCTGGAATGCCCCCTCCCCCTACTACCTGCTAATATTTTTTGGTGGTTGTTCTCCTTTATGTTCTCAAAAGTGCATGAAAATACTTATTTCTTGCAAGCTACCTAAAAGAATGACCAAACTTTTTTTCCTCTGGCTTGGCTGGGGTTAAAAACAAATTAACAAGGCTACTCCTTTTTTTCTTGCTGTTTGGCTTCTTCAGTTTGTATTCATTTGTTTTATTTTTAAGGGCTTGTTTTGTGGTCTCCCTTTTTCTGAAGCTTTCAAAAAAAAGGAAAAGACTTTTTTTAACTTTTCGGTTTGAAAAATAAAGAGAAAAGAGAGGTGGTGCATCCCCCCTCCCCCTAAAAAAGCCAAACAAACACAGCATTTAGTTTGCAAAATGACAACTCATTCCTAGTTGTGCACCATGTGGCTTCTGGGTCTGCATTCTAGCCCCCTGCTGTTTATATCCTAACTGGCACCATAAAGCTTCATCTATCCAAGTTAGAGCATACATGACACCACCTGACCTAACTAAGATGGCATAAAATGTTTGGTTTTTCTGCAGGGAAACAGACTACATTCTTCTTAAAGCAGAGAGCATTTTTTTAAAAACCTGTATTTGGAGAAGAGACACCTTTTTCTAGAAAGACATTTGATGCTTGCTTGGGTTCCTCCCTTTTTTCTTTTTTGTCCCCCCACCACTTCCTTGCTCAAGAAAGATATATATATATATAACAATGCCTTGTAATATGTTCAAGTGTTTAAGTGCTGAAATCAAAACTTTGAAATTGTGGGACTTTTCATCTTTAACAGCAAATCTAACATAGTATTCCCTGTGTTTCAGAAGTCATACTGTTGTACAGTTGTTGATGCACTATTACTGACAACAACCACACAAATTGTGCCAAACTCTGAAGAATTGATGTACTGTACATATTTTTACAACTCTTTATCAACAATGGGTTGTGAGTGTTTACTGGAGCTATTTTCTTTCTTTCTTGATTTTTCTTTTGCCTTCTGATTTACTGTAAACATTCCACTGATACGATTAGCTACCCCCTTCAAAAGCAACCACTATGAAAATGATGTTCACTTATACTGTAATGTACCAAAAGTTTTATGGGCATGACTAAACATGTGTGTGCCAAATTAACTTACCTCATTTCATGAATTTTTGCCCTCTAGTAGGGAGGCCAGGAGGACTTTAAAATGGAAACTGGGAAATTACCGTGCCCTCTGGAAAGTATTGATGAAATACTTAAACCTCATTCTGTGAGTGTTTGATTGGAGGGTTTTAGACATCAAACAAAATCACTCTAGGTAAATTTACTGGAAACTCAAGTGTGTACATTAGTCAGTGAAATGAAGAACAACAGTTAAACCGTCGCCTGTTTTCTTTCAAGCAAAACCTGTAGCTGAAGGTTATTTCAAAAGCAAAGTTGTATTGTTCATATTTGTAACTCAGTTTTCTATATTTTATAATACGACTTGGGATAGATTCTAAAAAAAAATAGTGATGGGGGGAAATGGGAACCAATGCATTTCATATACACTGTTTTGGTATTTTGTTTTGAGCTGTTTCGTAGCCATTTCTACGCTTCTCCTGTTAGAAGAGCTCTCTGCTCCAAGCTTTGGTGTTTTCTAAACGATTAAAAGAAATTATTGTTTGAAGGGTTGTTTTGTTTTTTTAAAAAACAATTTCTAATGCAATTACGAATTTGTATGTTGACGTCATATATCATACAAATATGGAAGTGGAACTCTTTATGATCTCGTCAAGTTGGGGACTAGATATAGGGGGGTAAGTGCATTCTGGGGACAGTAATAAGTGCTGGCTGCTTAATGGCAATGTACTTTATCAAAAGGCCTTATTTCAAATCTTACCCCCCACCCCAAGTCTCCTCGAAGGGAAAAAAAAAATACATTTGTGAACCTGAGCCTGTACATTTTGCTACTGATTTTTATGAAAACTTGATAATGGAAAAGGCCTCTCAGCTGGGTAGCCTTTTGGAAGCAGATGTAGCTAAGATTAGGACCTGCTGCACTGGGAAATGATAAAGTGACTAGGGATTTAAGGGCATTTCCAAAGAGGGAAGGAAAGCATTGAAGTGACCAAGGGTCTTCAGCTACTTACCACAAAGTTCTGTTTTGTTCCTTTCAGTGTGGCACAGTCATGACTCCCACTCCTCCAGATTATATCCTTGGGGCTCATAGGATGCTTCCATGCAGCAGCTGATTGTGGAACTGCTGCTGCTCACATTTTGCATGGGATCCATACAATACCGTTTTCATCAAGATGCCATCCCATACTGCTTCACATTTCAATCGGGATTTACCATTTCCACAGCAAATCTAGCGAGTAAAACAAAAATTAAAACCTCATGGAAATTGAAATCTGAATTAAATTCCAAGGGCAAGGTGGTGGTTGCTTTTTGAGTCCCATCATGTGGACTCTGCCCCCCCCCCCAAAAAAAAGCCTGCATGCATGAGCACAACAAGCTGCCATGTGGAAGCACCTATCGTGGTGCCTATTTTAATATCTTTCTCCTTCAGGCAGATATTGTATCTTATCAGCTAAAAGCAAAGGTGGAAAGGGGCATTAAAAACAAAATCTGGTGATTTAATAGTTCTATACAGGAAAGTTATGGGTAATCAGAGGTTTGTTTTGGCCTGATTGGCACCTGACCTTTCTTTCACATTCATTGGGGCTGTCTGAATATTTAGCCAAGTTCCTCTTCCTGTAAATTGGAAGATAAAGGATACCTTAACCATTAGGCTGCTTTGCTGCAGCCCTGAAAGCAATACACTTGCATAGCTTTCTGCAACCTGGTGCCCTCCAGATGACAACTCCCATCACCGCAGCCAGCTGTGTTGGTCCAAATCATCTGGAGGGCACCAGGTTAGAGATGTCAGCCCTAACTGATTTACATCCTGAAGAAGGAAGTGTCAGATTGCTGACTCTGGGTCAGTCTTAGTGCTACTTGGTGGTTTAGTTCTAAGATCACATAGGAGCCTGATAGGGCTGCCCCAATACATTTTGGCACTTGAGGTGAACCACAAAATGGTGCTTCCACACCAGGGAAGAAGGAGGGAGCGAAGATCTACATCAGGAACAGGGGCAGGCAAAGATAAATATCTACACTGGGAGCAAGAGGAGAATAAAGATTTACATTAGGAATAAGAGGGGAATAGAGATCAGTATCAGAAACAAGGGGGAGTATCAAAACAACCTTACACAATGGTTGAGGTGCGAATAAAAGGCCATCATTGTGGGAGGTGAGGCATGCTTGGAATTATGCTTGGCAGGAGCAGACTCTAGTTGACCTAAGTGGGTAGCCTCCTCCATTTCCTCCCTACAAGTAGGCTCTGCAACCTGAGGCAATTGCCTCATCTTGCCTCATGGGTGAGCTGGCCCAGCACATTTTGGCACCTGAGGCAAACCACAGAATGGTGCCTCTCCTGCCAGTTTAGCTGTGGAATAAATTTTACTTTATTTGGGGGGGGGGTAGAGTACAAAACCAGACTTCTAAGCACAACTCCAATGCACATGACTGTAGCCGCCACCTACGGATGCACACAAACATCAAGTTGTTTTGTGCTCTCTGGAACTTTGAAGCGGTTACCTGCTTTTAACATTCAGTTCCGATGCCAAGAAGCATTGTGTGAGCCCTGCATTTCCCCCGCCCTGCCTGCTCAATGCGTTCAGTAAAACATTCAGATATCCACTTCAAATCCCAACCTCCTCATAAATCTGACATGGTCACCTTCAGCTCTCAGCCTAGCCTACCTCACAGGATTGTTGTGAGGAAAGAAATTTGTGAGGGAAGGGATTGTGTACAACACCCTCAACAGATAAATGGGATGAAAAAAGATTTAAAATAGGTATAGTTGGGGGTGGGGATACTGTTATACAATATACAGTTCAAAACAAGATAATCTTCCCGTAGTATCCAAAATGCCCACCTTTGCATTGCATGGTGCCTTGCTGTGCACACCCATCAACATATGTGCACACAGATATCAAATGCATCCTGAGATTAATTTTGCAGAAACTTTGGGAATACAGCTAAATCTGCAGTCCTGTGCACACTTACCTATGAATAAGCCCAACTGAACATGGTGAGGCTGACTTCTGAGTAAGCATGCATAGGTTTTTGCTGTGAGTACTGAAGACTGGCTAGCATGTAGTAACTTTTATAATGGATGCTAATATTTGAACAATACACGGTTTTCTATATGTTTCGTACATCCACATGCCTCCACCTTTTGCATGATTATCAAGAACTGAAAGGGAAATGGATATCTTTCCCCACTCCAGGCTAGCTCCAGCTGTGGAATACAGTCTGGAGAACTATCAACAAGTTTAGAAATCAAAGGTTTTAAGGGTGACCCAGTAATGAGAGGTTTTCTTTTAAAAACAAAACAAAAAAACATGCCTGCTAAACAGAGCAACCATAGAAAGGAAAAATTAAAATAAGCATCAAGCAACCAAAAACCATTTTTTTAAAAATGAAACCAATTTTTCCTCTGCCATGGTCATGCCACCATGATTTCCCCTCTAAATTAAATTAAATTCACAGCCTAACCCACAACTAATACTTGGAAGTAGAGAGCCAGCAAGGTGTGGTGGTTAGAGTACCAGACTGCAACCTTGGGAGACCAGGGTTCAAATCCCTGCTCGGCCATGAAGCTCACTAGGTGACCTTGGGCCAGCCAACGCCTCTCAGCCTAACCTACCTCACAGGGTTGTTGCGGAGATTAAATAAGGAGATTAAATAAGGACTATGTACACCACCTTGAGCTCCTTGGAAAAAAAGATGGGATATAAGTGCAATAAACAAAACAAACAAACAAAAACGTAAATTCTGTGGAAATCAATGGGGTTTACTCAAATCTATGCATGCTTGCCCAGAAGTAAATCCCACCAAATTACATGAGATGATACTCTTAATTAAGCATGAAGGTGTTAGTGTCATTAAAGGCAATGTTTTGATTGCATGTGCAACCCACTTTTGTGCATGTTTACTTGTAAGTAAATCCCACACTTTCCCTAGTATATGTGTTTAGAAAGAAAAAAAAAGCCCATTACTACCAATCTTTTTAGGAAGAGGGCAAAGAGTTAAGTTTAACAGGAGAAACACCTTTGCTTGGCAGCTGCATGCAGGACCAAGCCGTCCATGAGCAAAGGTGAGGTGAGGTGACCTCAGGTGGCAGGATCTACCTAGGGCAGCAGCTCCCAAGGTTGATCTTTATCCCCCGACCCTTCCCTTGTTCCTGCTGTAGATCTTACCTGACTCCTTTCTTCCCTGGCGAGGAGAGGGAGCACCGTTATGGAGTCCTCCTCAAGTGTCAGCCTGGCTGTATTTGGAGAGGGAATCTGCCCAATCCATTTTTGAACAGGCGAGATCCAAATGGCCCGTCAAATTACACACAGGATAGGAAGAGGAAACCCCATGGATGTTCAATAAGAATCAACGCCCTGGCCAGAATTGCAGCCCAAGAATCAGAGGCAATCTCTCTTTGCTTTCAGTCACCGCAGAACTGAACAGACTCAGGAATCAGGGGAAGGGAAGTCACTGGAGCCAAATGGAAACTAGGTGAAATATACAAAGATTCTCCCAAAACGAGCACAACCGGTAGCAAGGGCAAGCTGTTAGGTCATCATACCTGGTTTTTATACATTTAATGATCTGCGGAGGGAGTGGAGATCCACACAGGGAAGAAGCAGGGCTGAAGATCAACATTGGTAATGTAGTGGCTTAGACTTCTCCTCCTCCTCCTCCCCTTCCTGGTCCTCTCAACTGCTGCCCCTCTCTGGCCTCGGTGAAAAGTCAGCAGAGTTGTTGCCTCACGGGGGGCTTCTGGGTGCAAAGGAAGCACGAGCCAAGCCAGAAGACAAGGCCAAGGAAGGAGAGGGGCAGCAGCTGAAGGTAGTTTTAAGCAGAAGTGGCACCTATGTGTGGGGTAGATCTGCTGCCCCTGTGGATTGGGCAGATCCTGATGTCTGAGGTAGATGTCTCACATGGCCTAATGGGTGGGCTGGCTCTGGTAGGATGCTACGATCGTGATACTGTACAGTTGGAAGGGACTCCCAAGTTTCAGCTAAACCAGGGTTTCCCTAACTTGGATCTCCAGCTGTTGTTGGACTACAACTTCCATCATCCCTGACCGCTGGTCCTGCTAGCTAGGCATGGAGAATGGGAATTGTAGTCCAAAAAACATCTGGAGACACAAGTTTGGGAAGCCCTGAGCTAAACTAACCCCATGCAATGCAGGAATCACAACTAAAGAATCCCTGACAGATGGCCACCCCACCTGTTTAAAAACCTCCATCACCTTCACCTCCGTTCCACTGGTAGGATCTCACTGGTGCATATACGAAGTGCCCCCCACCAGCAAATTTATTTGTTTTAAGAACATCCTCTATCTCAATTTGCATTTTGCAGGTGCTTCTCTTTCTCCCTTTGCCTAACCCCACTGATGTTTATTACCTTCCTCCCAGCTATAAACTACAGAGTTAACAAGCAAACTCAAAGAGTATTCTTTCTCATCAGGCTTCTTCCTCTGCTAACTGCAGGGTGGACAGGAGAGGCCACCACAGCCCACATACTTGGCCCCATGTCTTACGCCATAGCACCATCTCCCACTGTGGGAGGATTTGGAGAATGTTG